GCAGAGCAGGGCAGAGCAGGGCAGAGATTTTGGTCTTAGCCTGCAACAGTGAGAGGAGCCTGAAGGACTGCAGTGTCTGTGACATGGGTGGAGTCTCACGAGTATCTGCGGTCCTCTGTGTGGGTGTCAGACTGAAGAGTGTGCCCTATGTGTATTCCCAGCAGGAGCCTGCAGCTCACACACATGAGGAGGCCTTGGGAAGTACCCGAGGCCTCCCGCAGCACAGGGAGCTGCAGCACAGGGACGGACGGACAGCTGTACTCACAATCTCCCACATGGACTGCGCCGGCATGCAGGAGTCACAGTGCACCAGGGACTCTGTGGACTGCGGGAAGGTGTTGGGGACGCTATAGCTGAAGCACTGTCCTAGGCACGCCCTGTGGGAGGAAACAACCCTGAGCCTGGATCTCCAGAGGAGACGCAAGGGCGGACTGATTTTCCTTACCCTCTCCCTGAGTCCCCGGCCTCAGCCTCTCCCTCCCCCAGAGTCCTACCTGTTCTGGATGGACTTGGCCTCACAGCCGCTGTGGCCCACAATCTGCGTGATGTTCTTGGCTTCACACCAGGCACTCTTGTCCGGAAACAGGGCCAGCTTGTTGATGGGTGGAGGGGCAGCCAGCAGCATGACAGGGAGGACAGCCCCCACCAGGACCCAAAGCATTGTGCCCGTGACCTCCAGAGACCTGGAACTGAGCACAGGTGGCAAGTGAGGCTAGGCAGTGGAGAGCAGGGGTGTGTTCTAAGCGTGGGCTCTGGCCCCAGGGTTTAAGGCTAGCTCTCCACAGACAGACCTTTTTCTTCTTTTGAGACACAGTCTCAGGAAGCCCAGGCTGGCCTCAAACTAGGTCTGTATCGGAGGATGACTTTGAACTCCGGATTCTCCCAATCCCACTTCCCCACTTCTGGGATGGTAGCACTATGCCCAGCCCCAGGCACACCTTGGAGGAGGTATTTCTCCTCAGTAAACTATAAAGGCTGTGTGGAGCCCCACACCTGATGGCACTGGGGAGTGAATGGTCCTCAGTGGGACAGTTGCTAGTGTCAGGCTGTGACTATGGCTCAGTGGCACAGTGTGTACCTAGCTTGTGCAAGGGCTCTGGGTTAGATCCCTCATATCATAAATCAAAAGTGATCCTTTGATTACAGGGTTAGAGGCAGCCATTGTCCATGCCTCCTAAATAGACACTGCTACTCAACCTTATGCCACTCAGACAGATACATTTCTTCTTAGGATTCCCCACCAGAGTGCCCAGCCACCAGAGATCCCGCAGCGGGATTCTAACCACCCCCACCTACCCCAACCCCCAGTCAAGCAGAGGACCACTTAAAGGTCTCCTTCTGGGAGTAAGGAAATAATTCCAGAGATTGCCACAAGATGGCGCTGCAGGACAGTCTGTGTCTAAAGGAGCCCCTCAAGATGGGGGAATTCTACCACTTTGCCGAACTTTATCTTCCCCCACCCCATTCCCTCCCTACACAGACACCTCAATAGTAGTGGAGGGGTTTTCAGAGAGACCTGAACAGAGGGAAGTACTTTCAAAGGGAGGGTGTCCCCAAACCCCTCTGAAACAGGACACTGGGGAAAGGTATGTATGTATGTATGTATGTATGTATGTATCTATCTATCTATCTATCTATCATCTATCTATATATCATATATATCATCTATCTATCTATCTATCTATCATCTATCTATATATCATATATATATCATCTATCTATCAATCATCTGTCTATCTATCATCTATCTAATGCTTTGTGACCCTGGAACCTTCAAGCCTCGCTTTCTCACCTGTAAAATAAATGGAGCTTTCAAACCTGGTGGTGCATCAGAATTCCCTGGAGACTTAGAGTGTGAAAGCTCTCAGCTGGGATGAAATTCACACTTTCCCAGGGTGGTTCCAATAGGCAACCCGACAGGGGAATATCCCCAGCTCAGGCAGTTGGGGACTGTCTTAGTATTGTCCCCAGAGGAGCCTGGGTGAGTTTGAATGGGGGATAGAGGAGCTCTCTGGAAGCCAGCTACCAGGAGTGGGTAAGGCTGGCTCCTCTGTATGACAGCCCTGCTCTGGACTTACAATCCCCAGCAAGTGATGGGGGTGACAATGACAGGTATCTTTCCAAGTGTCCAGGGAGGTGACAGTGGGGGATTGGCAGTTCCTGCAGAGAGAATACAGGGCTGAGAGAGCAGGATGTCAGGGAGGGTAGCTAAAGCTCCTCTCTCTGCAGAAGTCTTGGTCTTTGAAGATGACCTCTGCCCCTGACTTGACAGGGAGAAAGACAGCTGCAGATGGGGCTGGACAGTGTGCCTAGATCCCAATAACTTTCTGCCGTGGTCCACACTCCAGACTCACCCATAAGATCCACAACAAAACCCACGTTTTTAGAACAAACATGGCCCAGCGGAATGGACTGGACTCGTTCCTATATGTAGGCAGCAACCTCAGCATCCGGCAAGCCTCCTGGTCCAATGGGCACTCCACCGACCCTCAGGAACTAGCCTGACCCAAGGTATGACCACCACCTCCTAAAGAGCTCCAAGACCCATAGAAGACCAGGGCTCTGGGCCCTTCCTGAGCTGGACTAGCCCCTCTAGGACTTGTAGAGAAGTCCCTGCTATAGTCTCTGCCTCTGTGACATTTTCTTGGCAGTGACAAGCAGGGAACAAATAAGACCCGGGTAGGACGTGAACCTAAGGTCTCGGTAGGCGCTGGGATTGAGATCTAAGCTGGAGTGACGGTAGCCAGGCGATGGGCATGTGAGGGACTAGGAGAGATGGGTGTGGAGGCTGCCAAAGTCTGACTGGCTAAAGTGGAGCCCAACCTGGAGCTTAACCATGAGGTTACTGGGAGACAAGATAAGGGGACATTTGCAGACTGTCACTGGCCCGGAGATTAGGCCCTGTTATTAGATAGATATGGTAGAAGCTGAGGAGAAATGACATGACTAAGTTAGAAGGCCACTTCCTATAACTTACTTCTCAGTTGCCCCACAGGGGACAAGCACAAGGACCAGTCATGCCCCTCAGAAGAGTGGCGTACCCTGACCCACCACAACCTGGCCAGGACCAGAAGCAGAATGCTGGGATCACCCTCCACCTCCCCAGCTCAGCAGCTGGAGCACCAGTAGACTGGCCCACTGCCCCTGGAGTCCCCGGTGTTAGAAGTCTGCAGCCTAGGAGCTGTGTGACTGTGAGAAGAGTTCATCTGTCACAGCCTACTTCCCTTGGCTGTAGAGAAAACATGGCTCCTTCTTAGAACTGGGAGGCTCCCATAACAGCACCCAGCACCCAGCACCCAGCACCCACCCAGGACCCAGTATCCACCCACCAACACAGCTCTCATCCCTGGAGTGTTCATGAGTAAATTTGGGCAGTGTCAGAAGGGAGACCAAAGAGGTGCCATTAGGACCTCCGCCCCCAGCCCTCACATCCTGCACAGAGGCCATGATGCTCTCGGCCCATGGATGGGCTCCTTGCAGGTTTAATCATCTTGTCAATTTACCCTTCTTTGTGTGTCCTCAACCCGAAACTCAGCTCACTTCTGTTTAGGCAACAGTTGAACTTTCCTTCCTAGGCCTTTGGAGCCTCATCCAGCTTCTCATACCTTCCACCCTAAAGGTCACACAGAGTGCCAGGGCAGGACAGAAGTGAGCCATCTGTCAGACCAACACCCAAGCTCTGCAGAGATTGTCCCAAAACACTTGCAGCAAGAGAGGAGCCATGTCCTCCCCTGGGCTATTCATTCTCTGTAGCTGACACTCCCCATCTGGGGGCCTTCAAGGAGGTGAGGCAGGAGAGCTGTGCTCGCCCCCTCCAAAGCTCAGATCCCACCAGGAAACGCAGAGATGCCTGAGTGTCAGGGTAGAAGTTCATAATTCTGAATCGCAAATGGGTAATGAGCGGCGAAAGTCAAGGGAAGGCACTCCTGGCCAGCGGGTTACTGCTGGAACAAAAGCCAGCAGAGGGGATCACAACCCTCACCCGCCATGGCTTCTCCTGCCTGGCAGGGAGATGCTGGTCCTAACCGCAGCCATGTCAGCTTACAAGAACTCCACTGGATAGGACCTGTCTCCCCCACTTTCTCCTTGAAGAATGGAAACACAGCAGCCGCTGGAATTTGAATAAGCTTACATGTCCCGACAATAGAAAAGCTGAGGTCGGGATTATGAACGAATCAGGTGAGCCGGCAGTTACCCTCACAGGCTGAAGGCTCACAGAAGAGAAAGAGAAAGCAAGAAATGGGGAGTGAGCAGTCCGGGAATGGGGGTGTGGAATAAAGAGCTGGAGTGGGATTTGGGGTGCCCCTAGGGACAGCCTTCTTGTCCCTGTCAGAACTCTTGGTGCTTAGCCATTGCCTTATCTGGAACCTGGCTCCATAGACCAGAGTTTGAGCCCCATTCCTGGCCCCCCGAAGACCAGCATGTGGTCATGGAAGAACCTTATTTCTGGGTCTAGGTACAGAAGGGAAGTGTCCTGTTATGAGCTCAGTGGCACCCTTAGCACAGGTGGCCACACCTCAGACCTGGGGGTGGGCAGGGTATTTCTGGTGAACCTCTCAGGGCAACTGCTGGATTGTGAGAGGTGTAGCCCTTCTTTCCAGTCCCCCACAGCCCTCCCTGTACCCTGCCTTTTCTGAACTGCCATTCATACAGAAAGGAAGCCCCCACAGGACGACATCCACAGGCTGACCCTTGTCATTATGCACAGGTCAAGAAGAAGCCGGCCCATCTCTCCAGGCAGGAAGCACTGTGGTAGCTTCCCTGGCCCTTGACTCACAAGGCCCTTCAGGAATGCCAGGGGGGTGGAGCTATGAATACACAAGGCTTGGCCCACAGCACACCTGCCAGGCTCCAGCCCCTGCCGTGAGGCACTCACCAGAACTGTGGAAGCCCTGGGCCTGGCCTGCAAAATCAAACGGCCAGAGCTCAGGGTGTGGCCTGAACGGGCATCTGTCTGTGTTCCCCGAATGACCCTGAGGCCCAGTCAGGTCAGGAACTGTGTGTGGCCCCCTTCGTGTCACGGCTGACAGGCTCCCCTTGGTCCCACCACTGGCTTCTAACGTCTGTAGCAGGTGTTCTAAAGGCTGCATGGACTTAGCTCGCAAGGACAGTCACCACCACCACCTACTAAAGCCTTTATACAGCAAAGAGGGGACTGCATGTGTGGAGGAGACAATTCTCTCTTTCCTCTAGACAGGGTTTCTCTGTGTAGCCCTGGCTGTCCTGGAACTCACGATGTAGACCAGGCTGGCCGTGAACTTGCAGAGATCCACCTGTCTCTGCCTCCTGAGTGCTGGGATTAAAGGTGTGCAACACTATGCCTGGCCTCCGCCCTGTTTCCTCTTTTGCTAACTCTGAAAAGTCAGGGTCATTCGGTCTCCACCAGGGTTTTCAAGGTAGGCTGTACCACAGCACACCCCCCCCCCGTCTTACACACGCGCACACGCGCACACGCGCACACACACACATGCGCACACACACACACCACAAAGTCCTCTCACAATACACTGTCTCTCACACGCAATACATACAACCTCACACAATTTCTCTAATACACACACAATCACACACGTTGGGGGGAGGCAGGAATCTCTCCTCCACTCTCCACAATTAACCTGGGCTCGGGTTCAAATCTTAGCTCAGCCACCCGAAGACGTCTGTGCTTTAGTTTGCTCATGTGCAGTGTGGG